GAATGAAATCAGAAGTGGTGGCTAAATATCTAATGTTTAGTATTTTATCAGGACTATTTATTCATGCATTTACTTCTAAGATTAAAAATTAAAAATACAATTTCCTACAAATGAGATAATCTGTTCATCTATCTCAGAGATGACTGTGCCTGTCTATTATTAAGAATACTCACCTGGCTAGGCACTGTGGCTCACACCTGTAATCCTAGCACTTTGGGAGGCCAGGCGGGCAGATCACCTGAGATCGAGTTCAAGACTAGCCTGGGCAACAATGGCATAACCCCATCTCTACTAAAAACACAAAAATTAGCCAGGTGCGGTGGCAGTTGCCTGTAATCCCAGCTACTTAGGAGGCTGAAGCGGAAGAACCTGGGAGGCAGAGGTTACAGTGAGCCAAGACTGAACCACTGTACTCCAACCTGGCCAACAGAGCAAGATTCTGTCAAAAAGAAGGGGAGGAGAGGGAGGAGGGGGGGAAGTGGGGAGGGGAGGGAAGGGGGGAGGGGAGAGAAGAGAAGGGGAAGGATCAGAAGGGGAGAGAAGAGAAGGGACAGAAGAGGAGGGAGGGAGGGAGAGAGGGAGGGAGGGAAAGGAAGAAAGAAAGGAAAAGGAGGAAGAAAGGAAAGGAAAGGAGAAAGGGAGGGAGGGAGGGATCCTCAGTGAGGCTGGGTGTATGAGGAAGGAGGGAGGGGGGAGGGAGGGAGGGAGGGGGGAGGGAGAAACGGAGGGAGGGAGGGAAGAATACTCAGTGAGGCTGAGCATGTGGCTCTGCCTGTAATCCCAGCACTTTGGGAAGCCATGACAAGCAGATCACTCGAGCCTAGGAATTTGAGACAAGCCTGGGCAACATGGCAAAACCCCATCTCTACAAAAAATTACAAAAATTAGCCAGATATGGTGGCGTGTGCCTGTAGTCCTAGCTATTCAGGAGGCTGAGATGGGAGGATTGCTTGAACCCAGGAAGTTGAGGCTGCAGTGAGCTATGATTGCACCACTGCACTCCAGCCTAGGTGACAGAATGAGGCCGTTTTAGGGGGAAAAGAAATAAAGAATACTCAGAGAGGTTAGAGGTCTTTATTCTGAGGACAAATTAAACTCTTACTATCATTGTCTAGTTTTAATTGTAACATTTGAACTGTAACATTTTTCAAATTACCTCTTGAGGTTACCCCCAGCTAAATGGTCCTAAAGGAAGTTATTTTTGCATAAAAATTATTTTATAACAAAGTAAATTTAAAGTATCTGAATATCAACAGGTAACTACATTTGGATATGTGTGACCCACAGACATTTTCTCAGACAGGTATGTGTGCCCTGAAAGAAGTATAATATCGGGAAACACATTTTGTAGATATCGGAAAGATGAGTTTTTAGGTTGGTATTATTAGCTGCTCTCTTAGCTGTTTTAGACATTTGATACGAAATATTTTTAGGAATTCTTTATTCTTAATAATCTCAACTTTATATATAAGCTTATTGCTCGGATATAAAAACATCAGTAATCAACCAAAAGTTAATTCATGTTATTTCAAGTTAATTCATATCAGAATTGTTATTCATTTATTATTTTCTATAATATATCTGAATATAATTAAATCATACATTTTTGGTGAGACATTTTCAATGTAGGTTTGAAATTATTTTTATATCAATGTCATAGTTAGGAATATGGATTTATATTTCCATTGCACATTCGTCATTGCTAGGCCTCTGTGAACGCATCATTTATTTCTGTTTCACAACAAGAGCTGCAGAGAGGAAAGCCCAGGGTAAAGATAAGTAGGGATTACCAAAACCCCAAATAAAGACCTCTCCAAAAAAGACCAGTTATAAAACAAGGTCCCTTCATCAAGAAGCAAAAGAGAACAATCTACTTTACCTCCTGTAGGATAATAGACTGTATGGGGCCCAGATGAGAAATATGTGAAAATACTGAAAATAAATTCAAGCTGATTTGAAAGGAGTAAGTGTTTCTGTTTTACTACCATGAGTACATTAAAAACAAATTGTATTTGAATCCTGCATAACTTACAAGTTATAGAAAGAGCTTCCAAGATGAAAAATAACTATAAAAATAATTTTAAAATATAAACTATTAAAAGCATTTCAAAGACTATCATTTGCATTTGAGAAAAATTTTCCTCTTTAGTTAATGGAGAATTCAAATAAAGAGTAACACCAAAACCTCCCAATTGTTTCATGACTAAGCATAACAAAGAACAATCAGCAATCACACAGAATCTATTCTTATAAAATTCACTGCAACATTTAAAATATTTTATTACATGGAAGTTTGGATATCTATAGATAATCGACTGATCCCGTTCTATTTTCACCTTGTTTGCAAAGATCTCCTTTAGTCACCTTGAGAGTCTATTAATCTACACAGCAAATTGTTTACTAAAACTATGGACTTCAAATCGCCCCAAATTTTAGATTCTAAAAACTTAAGTATAAATAGGCAGCAAAACAATGTTTCAAAAAATATATTAATTTACATGGCATTACTTTTTCAGGGCTCTAATTAAAAATTTTAAGTACAGATTCTTTGTGTTTCCTATGAAAAATAAAACCATCAATTATACTAATTGTATTTGACCAAGAATACATGGTCAAAATTTTTCTCACAACTTAATTCTTTGTGGCAAGTAACATGCTTGTAAAATGTACTTAGGGGTGATTTTTTAGTTAGTACAAAATTTTTCATTCAAATATAACAAGCTATTTAAAAGGAATTATTTAATAAATGTGCCATATCACACCATGTGCTCAAACCTAAAGCCTGTGATGCCACAACAATAACAGTGGGCAAATTTTTTAAAAGGAAACATGTCCATCGAACCTTTCATTTTTGAAGCAAAAACACTGCCAAATTATTTCTTTTATACTGGGTTCTATGTATTTCAATTTACAAGCAAATTTATACCCTTCACTAAAAAATTGTTGAAATAATAGAAAAATTATGTATGTAGAGGTATGATTTTTCTTGTTACTGCATTTCTCATTTCATTGTAAGTGACGGGCACTGCTGGCTGGTCTCACAGGAGCGAAGGAGACCACACTAGGGTCAGGGTTTCCTTGAGAGAGGCGACAAGAAAGAGTGAAAAATGTCACAGCTTGGAATTTGGCTGCTTAAATACATCCTCTATTCTAGTCTTACAAGCTTTTCAGCTGGCAAATCAAAATCCTGTTATACACTAGGATAATATTCATGACAATTCTCTAGATTTTATCTTCTTAAAATCAAAGACTCAATTCTAAAGGGTTAATAGAGGAATTACAAAGTAACTCTCTAGTTTGCATTTCCCATAATGCTAAAATAAAGCTTTTTCTTTTAGTCTAGAAATTTGCTTTTTTAATACTGTGAAAAGCCTCTATGAATCTGTTTAACGTATTTATTTCTTTTCATCTATTCAATGCCACTGGGCATAACATGTAATGCAGTGCGTGTTGATATTTTGCAAAGCACCACATGACTCACTGTACACTAATGCACTCCATTAATCCTGTTTGGACAGCTGGGTCCAGGCATTTGTTAGCTGCATTTTAATTGTTCCATCTTTCTTTTTTTTCTTTTTATTTATCTCTATGGCAAACTCCTCTGGAATTTAATTTGTTGGCCTTCAAAAAATAAACTTTATTTGTTTTCTTTGTATTAAAACTATACTCAGCAAGTAATTTTCTTCCATAAAATCAGTATATATTAATGATTAGCAATCAATCTTAAATAACAGTATAGTAAATGAGTTTCATAAGTGTTAAAATGATAGGGTAGTTGAAATATAACAGAAATTATTTAATAGACTGTCATAATATAAATGATAACATTTAATGTCAAATCAGGTTACTAAAGAGGATACTTTTGGCATTTTCAAGATTCACACACCATAAGCAGATGTCAAAACAATAACAAGGACTTTGCTTTAAGTCCTTTAAAGCAAACACAACAGAATAAAGACTATTACACACACCAGTTTTCTACTAGTTTATGGAACAGTGGTCCCTTTTACATTTATATTTCATTTTCTATTAAAACATGAAATCCTTTGTAAGAATTATGAAGATAACTACAGAGCTTATACTTTCTTTGCACAGCCTGCATTCCTGATATCTGTAAGTCTTCAATAAATAATGGAGGCAATATGAGAGCAAACTCAAAAGCAACTCAAAGTTACTAGTAATTTTTGTTATGAGCAAGTAGCTAAAATTTAATGATCAAAATTTTCCAATCATTCCTGGGCACTCTTAAGTCAAACTCTTAAGTCAAAACCTAAGTCTAGAGAATCAGATAGAAACGCTTAATGGAAATTTTTGCCTGAAATAATATTTAGTGAAGAACTGAGAATACAGTCTATGATAGCATTTTATAAAAGGCGACCAAGTGAAGACTTATTCAACTATTTCAATGACAAAGTGAAAATCTGTTTTACTTTTAAAAAATGAACAACTTCTCTGTAAACTGAAACATTAAGAAAATGACAGGAATGAATGACAGGCAAGTAGAAACTCTCAAGGGTGTCCTTTGAATCAAAGTGTTTTCTCAGAGGTTACACTGCTTTCACCTCTATTTCGTGAACACAAAGCAGCTTAAAATAATTTACAAATTTTCAATTTTTTAAACCACACTAAATTATAAACGCTTAAAAACTCTTCTATAGAAAAATTAGTTTAGCATAGCTTCCTCACTAGAGGACTCAAACGCCTAACTTATGAATGTGTCGGTAAAAACAAAACAAAACAAAAAACCAGCCCATTGTTTGGAGAAAGAAGGTTTTTAAGTGTTTATAAAATAAATGGTCTTTATTTGACAAAAGTATTTGTCTTGGTATGGCCCTATACATAAAGTACAGAAGTAAAGGTGTAAAATGATGTGGAAAGAAACACTGTATTTCAAAGGTAATCTTTTTGAAAAAGTTTGTAAAGTCAAAGTTAAATAAGTTTAGTAAAGACTGTTTTAAAAAACATGGATGTTTAAGTAAAAATTTCTCATTCAAACTTACCCAGTGTTCTTGACATCACAGGCAGAGCAGAGCTCAAGACCAAGATAGACACACAATTTCCAATGATCTGTTATGAGAAATGAGAAAAAACATTGAACAGTTAAACAGCAGGATGACAATAAAACCCATTAACATTCTAAGAAATTATTGTACATTCTAGTTACCTAGTGTACTTTGCCAATTTCTTAATGATACTTACTATTTAGTATAGAATTGTCAAACAATAACAAACTTTTAAAATAGATATTTCAAGTTATATCTGTAAGTTCTAGAAGATGTTTACAATACCTACCACAAATATAGTTATAGAACACTTAAATTACTTGACACCTAGATAATGCATTTTACATTACTGATTGCAGTTGCTAGTTTCAAAAGGCTCTGCCTATCAAGTAAATAATAATTACATATTGGATACTTCTGACTACATTTTTAAAGCCAGATTATTGCTTAAGATCTCTTCTATCACATCTATTTCTAATACATTTATTATACAATTATAAAAGCACCTGAAATCCAAAACCTCTAAACTCTTGTAATAATGTATCCTATGTTTATTCTTCCATAGTAAATAAGAGGAGTTGAAAATACTGATTAATATTTATGATCACTTAAACTAGACACTAAATATCTCAACTACTTATTAAGTTTAAAGAACTAGCTGTGTGTGTGTGCGTGTGTGTGCGCGCACGCGCGCATGTAAAATAACTTCTCCCCTTTAATAGGCTAAAAGTATAAAATAAAAACAAAACAAGCTTGCAGCTCTTATTAGTTATTCTTCTTTGTCAGCCTATGGGAATATTTTAGATTCAGTCACTATATATGGCCTTTTTATTCTGAAGCCAATGACATGTTGTGGAAAAAGTCAAATTAGCCTCAGACTACAAAATGTTTCTGAATAGAACTCTTCCGTCTTACTTTAATTATTCAAATTTGAAATACTTTGTCTCTACTACTTGCAGCAACTAAGTTCTTCAGATTTCAAACAAGCTCCCTGAAGTACAGTTAGGACAATCAAAGTTACTCATTAGCAATAGGTTTTCTTTAGAGGAAAAAGAGTCCTTTCAGGAGCCTTCTGTAGCTAGTTAACAAGCTCTGCAGCTCTATGCACTGACGGTGAATGGACGCCATCCAAATTAAACAGGGTACATCCCTTTCCCACTCACTCAGCATTTTGAAAATCTTCCAGTTTTTGTCTACGCAAGCTACCAACAAATACCTATCACTGCAAATGAACCATTCAGGATGACTATTAAATAGAGCAGTCTGGGAAGGCAAAAGAGAGGCCACAGTCACCTAAGACTCTATCTTACCTTTGTCATAGTTGTGTCATCTTTCTTGGGAGTAAAGTTTCCAAAAAATCGAAGGCTATAGAAACCGACAACAGAGGACACCATAAGATAGCTGTGAGAATCAAGGGAAAAAAACTCTCCAACAGAATGCAAGTTTCTTAAGTTCTCAGCAGTCTGCAAAAAGTCTTAAGACCCATAAAAACAAAACAAGCTATCTTAAGTGTCTGAGGAAGACTAATCTGTTTTTTCCTCTAGACAAGTGTCTTAGTAAATAAGCACTGCCCCAGAAAACTAGATGTAAAATTTGTGGATTGGCTAAACATTCAGTTAAAGAAAGGATACAAAATTAAAATGATTTCAAGTGCAGCTCCCACAAAACCAAACGTAGAAAGAGATGCATTTCCTATTCCAGGCCCCTGGAGTGGGAGAAAGACACTTTTCAGAATTTCATGACACCATTATATCGGTTTCCCTAAAATAGTTGTTTCATAAATATGAGAGAGTTGAAATTAGGAATGTTTAATACTTTGAAACAACATCTAGACTTTCAGAGGCCAATAAAACATGACATTAGACTGATTTCATCAACAAATTCAGGCACTGTGTTAACAATTTTAACAAGCTCAAGAAAAGTTACTTACCCCAAATGTAATTTAAGTTACTTGTCGAGACGATATGATCATGCTTACTATTATAAAATGGGGCAACTGGCTACTTGAGGAAAAATAAATCCTAAATATTTTTGGGAAAGAGCTTTTAAAAATACAATAGAAAAATAAGAATAGGAGCTATCTGAATCCTGAGGCAACATACAAAGATTACACAAAGTATGTCAAAATTAAGTTAACAGTAGAAAAGAGAGTAAATGCGCATATCCTGTTTCCATACCTGATAGTTTCTTTTTCCCAAATCTTCCTTTGGAATTCAGAGTTACAAAAGATATAACTGTTAACACAGATTTTTAAAATGTAATGCTATAAATTTTTTCCTAAATAACTATATCTATCTCAAAAACTATACCTAGACCTTTAGAAAAACACAAAAAAAGTTAATATTTTTATAATGAGCTCTGAAAAAATCATTCCCTGCTGAAGAACAGTATTTTCAAAGATTACTAATAACATAAACTATCTGAACGTTTTACTAGTCAGCACAGATTACATCTAACAGAAGCACCAGGGATAATTAACAACATACAGTCAGTCCAATAAAAAATAACTTTTTGACAATCTTTTAAAGAAGAAATAAATAATGCTGGTAGAAAGTGATAGGGTTCAGGACACACTAATCCAAAATATGGGACCTTAGTATTTGAGAAAACCTAAGAAGGTCACACACTGATCTGCCCCTCTTCTCCTGCGAAGCAGGCCATGAGACCCCCATTGGAGGGTGCCCTCCCCACGACCCAGAGGAGAGGCACATGTTTATCTCTGGAGACACAAGGATACTGAGAAGAATAGGCACAGGCCTTGCTAAATTCCCCCCAGTTTATAATCATTAGATCACACCCCCATCTTCCAATCATACTTCCCCACTACTGTCCACACTTCATCAAACTTGAGCATAAAAACACACAGGTCTTTCTGTTTCTTTGGTCTTCTTCGTTTCTGAAGACCCCTGTGATACGTAAAACTTATCTTAAATAAATTTGTCAGCTTTTCTCTTGTTAATATGTCTTTTGTTATAGGCATCTCAGCCATGAACCTTGCAATAGGTTAGGAAACAATATTACTTCTCCCCTACAAAGCTTATTGATCGACACAGAAAATATCTTGGAATTATTCTGTCTCAAGAGAAGGCATATAGGAAGGATTAAGATGATATAATTTTTTACACAATTACACAGCAAGCTCCTATAACGTACAAGTCATTCTCTATTAAGCACTAAGGGGAATGGGTACAAAACAGTAGGGGCTTGCAGCTTGTTTTGGTATGTCTGAATGGGTTAAAAGTGAAGAGGAAGTCAGTACAGTAGGTCACTTCCTGTGCTATCAGTGGGGTTGGGTATAAAACTAAAGAAAAAGAAAAGACTGTACATAGAAAGGATAGTTTCCTGTCTGTCTGTAGGATGAGGCACCTGGAGCATGATGGAGCTTACACTCATGGAGGAGAGGCTGTAACTGAACGTAGCAATGGCAATAACAGCCAGCACAGGGTCCTGGAAAGGCTGCGGTGGGGGCACCTGAATCAAGAATATGGCTAAAGGAATTTCATATAGCTAAATGAATTTCAGTAAAATCAAGATAAACTCTGATAAGAAATCTAAAAGGAAACTCCAATACTTGAAAAAAGGCCCTGTCAATCCAAAGTAAAAAATCAGAAACAAAAATCACGGTTTATTTATGAAGGCTCTTTGCGTAAAGAAATTCATACAACGTGAAGTATATACATCCACAAAGTTGAATGTTTTCATTTGCTTACTTGAAATACTCAGGGTATAGGCAAAGAACACTTTTGCAAAAGAAAGACATTTTAAAGGATTTTACATTACCCTTGTTCCTTTTGGCATTGCTGTTTCATCAACCAATAGGCAAAGAATATTACAAGCCACCAAGAGGACCGAGATGGACTACAAGACAAACAGCAAGCTGTCAGCTCTCAAGATTTTTTACCAATACAAAATATTAAAATCTAAGTCACCAAAAACTATGTTTCAAAATAGAGGGAAAGCAGCCAAGACCAAAACACTATATATAAAACTAAAATGATCAGACTACAAACAAGAACTGAAGAAATTCTAAAAGATTCTGCAAGTTATTGTAATTTCAAAGCTTGTGATAAAAGCTAGCAGTATAGATCCTTTTACTAAGTAATCTCACGAATTGGAAACACACAACTCCATAGACTTAAAAAAGTAGTAAAATATTATCGGAACTAATTTCATAAGGTAATTTTCATATTTTATCATAGCATTTAAAGCAGGGTATCAGCAACACCTTGTCCTTTTAATTTTCAATGACAACAAAGGCTGAATTTCCTGCTTTCATGAAGAAACAGATAATCTTCAGAATTTCTAAAAAAATGCTATTAATTTCCATTTTTGTTTTGTAGGGTTTTCATAAATAAAGGCATAGATGGATTTTAATCCTGTTGATAGAAAACCAGTTTATTAGAAACAATTTAGCTGAGGGAGCTGCCATACTCAAATGCTGAATTAAATAAAATATAATTTGCTTTTATTTAACTAGGCAAATAAATTCTTACTGTCTCAATAAGAAGGAGAACCATAACAGCAGGATACACCAAATTTCGTTCCCATGCTGAAGCCTTTTTTCGCCTCTCTATTAAAAGGAAAAACAAAACAGTTTTCTCCAGATTAACATTTTCATTCCATAATGCTACAATCTGTTTTTTTACATAATTTCCTTTTTAAAAAACATAAATTACTTTAAATTTTCCCCCACAAACTATAAAAACTAGACATAGGGCCTCGCTCTGTCACCCAGGCTAGAGCACAATGGTACAGCCACAGCTCACTGCAGCCTCCTGAGCGCAAGTGACCCTCCCATCTCAACCACCCAAGTAGCTGGGACTACAGGTAGGTGCCACCATGCCTGGCTAATTTTTTTATTTATTTTTTTGTAGAGACAGGGTCTTGCTATGTTGCCCAGGCTGGTCTTGAACTCCTGAGCTCAAACGATTCTCCCGCCTCAGCTCCTCAAAGTGCTGGGATTTCAGGAATAAGCTAAAAATCAGAGTTTTAAAACCAGTCTAAAATACCTCAATCCTGTGATGCTTGAATTAGCTCTGTGAAGACATCTCAATCGTTAAGGAAATAAATTGTTTAATATACAGCTTCCTTTGCAAATATAGAAATACAGTAGGCCTTCTATAGCCACAGGTTCTGTAATAGTTTTCTATCGTATATGGATTTTGGTATCCATGGGGCTTCTGAAACCAGTCTCCATGGAATACTGAGAACCTGCGGTATTTGCATTTGATATAGATCTACATATTGATATTGATATATATCCAAATGAATAAAGTTACATGAGTAAAAATCCCTTCTGTTCTGAATATCCCAAAGATAAACACTTCTGGTTTTCTAAAGGCTGAAAGAAAACTACTTTCACCTATAATGGACTGTCTTATATCAGCATCAATCCTCATGCTAAGAACAAATAGAAAAGATAAATCAAACTTAATTTTTTAAAAAAATCTGTATGAACACATCAGAGAGCTACCAAGAAAATGAAAATTTAGGGGCCAATATTCTGTGCAGTGAACTGAGCTAAGATCTCCAATTTGTACCACACCTTCCACTGCCATGCATTTCCCAATATATAAATGGCAGGGACCCAAGAGGTTGAGAAATCAATGGGTGAAAGGCAATGATTCTAAAGCAAACCTTTCAGCAAACTCAACAGTACCAAGAAGACAGATACTGGCATTTCGGGCTACCAATGCAGTCAAAATTTGAGAGGCTATGATCATAAGAAAAGAAAAGGGCAAGGAAGTGAGCCTGGCATACAGTGCAACTTTCCCTTCAAGATATCAGTGGCTAAGAGGCTGAGAACAACAACAGAAAGATGCAACTATGAGGCTGAGAAGCCAAGCAAAGCTCGTCAGGCTCATGTTTCTTAAGAGGTAAAAACTAAAATTCATTAAGAAAATGGGGTCATAATCAATAACTAGACAACCAGGCTTTAAATTAGGACCAATGAAAAGCTATACCCTAGTATGAAGGAAGGGCAAAGTGGAAATAGACCAGTCCTTATAAAGATCAAAACCTGGCTTTGAATGATCTCAAGCCTAGCAGATTAGATTGATTATCCCTACTCTAATTGTCTTCCAGAAGCAAAAGTAAATTCTCCCAAAAAGAAAACATCAGAGTTTCTATAGTTATAAGAAATATCTAGCACTAAATTAAACATTACCAGATACAGGAAAAAGAGGCCAGGAGTAGTGGCTCATGCTTGTAATCCCAGCACTTTGGGAGGCCAAGGCAGGCAGATCACTTGAGGCCAGAAGTTCAAGACCAGCCTGCCCAATATGGTGAAACCCCATCTCTACTAAAAATACAAAACATTAGCCAGCCATGATGGTAGGTGCCTGTAATCCCACTACTTGGGAGACTGAGGCAGGAGAATCACTTGAACCCAGGAGGTAGAGGCTGCAATGAGCCAAGATCGTGCTACTGACAGCCTGGGCAACGAGAGCAAAACTCCAACTCAAAAAAAAAAAACAACAACAACAAAACCACACACACAGAAACAGACCTCCAGCTGATCCACATGCTGGATACGCTGGATTTATCAGAAAGAGGCTTTAAAGTAAATGATTATATTCAGTACAATAAATGACAAATGGGAAGTTTTACAAGTAAATTTGAATCTATAAAAAATAAACAGAAAATCTAGAACTGAAAAAATAATGTAACTAAAATGAAGAATTCAATAGTTATGACAAGTTATGACACAGCTGAAAGAAACCAAAATGGAAGACAGACCAGTAGAAAATATCACAGATTGAGGCATGAAGATAAAAAAGGAGATAAATACAGAAAATAATATAAGAATGAAAAAGTCTAGCATACGTGTAACTGCAGCCTGAGGAAATAAGAGAGAATGGGGCAGAAGCAATATTTGATAAGATAATGGCCAAGAATTTTCCCAAGTAGATAGAAGACATCAAGCCACAGAATCATGAAGTAACACGCAGGGTTCAAGAAAGATAAATACAAAGAAAACCAAATCTAAGCACATCAGAGTAAAATTGCTAAACAAAGACAAAAGGAAAATCTTAAAAGCCTTTCAAAAGAGCAACAACATGACTTTTAGCCAGAAACCAGAAGAGGGTAGAATGACATCTTCACAATGCTGAAAACCAACAAACAAAAATTTTAGTATGTTTTCCAATAAACAAACACTCAGAGAATCTATTGCCAGCAAACCTGTGTTTTTCAAACAGAAGCTAAGTGAACATTAGAAAGGTAAAAATATAAATACAATCAGGAACATATGAATTCAAATATCCATGCAACACCATTTCACACCAACTAAGTTGGTAAAAATTTTAAAGTCCAACATTGTCAAGTATAGGCAAGGATATGGAGCAACAAGGAGCCCTACTCACGTGCAGCAGGAATGCAAACTAATACAACTATGTGAGAAAACCATGTGGCTTTATCTGCAAAAGTTGCACAGGCACATATACAATGATCCTGCAGTTCCATATCTAGCATGTACCCTGAAAAAATATATATACCAAGAGATACATACCAGAATGATTATAGCAACATTATTCATAACAGCAAAAAACTAGAAACAGATCTAATATCCACCAACTGCAGGACACCTGAAGTAACTTCAGGTAATATAATATTAACAGTAATGAAAATACATGAACACCGTAGCTGATTTTCAAGAACATAACACTGGACTTCCACTTCTGAAGCTGCAGCAGCAACAAGGGACCAGGTTTGTCATCCAGCCTGAAACAATTAAGAAACCAGAAAGTACACAGATAGGAAACAACAGCTTTCAAGACACTGGACATCTGATCGTGGAAGAACAATGATGCCTGAGACACAGAAAACAAACCACACAGCCCTTTCTGACCCAGCTTAATGTCTTGAGAGTTTCCAGGCCATGAGGTAGGAAGGAGCAACACAAGGTGAGCCCAGCTCATCCCTTGAGTTGAGAGCATGAAACGGGAATCTGGGGAGACAAGTCAGCTGGAGTCTGCACAGCAAAGTGCCAGACAGGAGACTGAAGTACAGAAAAAGAACTCCAAGGATCTGCAAAGAGTCACCGTTGAGTATTCAGTAAAGAATTGAGTAAAAAATTCTCAAGTATGTCGGCTGAGGCATGTGAAGAAACAACTCATGGCTGAAGAAACAACCACCCAAAAATATGAGAGGAAACAGCGCAATCACAAAAGGCAAAAAGTAGTTCCTTCTCCCACAAGACAGTACAGAATCTCATCAATACAGGACACTGGATAGAGTTCGTAGAAGGCTCTTGCCTTAGCAGTAGGGAAGACTTAGCCCTAGATGCAATGACCCCCAGTCCAGTCTATAAAGTCTTCAGAACAAGACTCAATAATACCAAACTGTTTCCAAGTAACTTAACTGACTTCCAGAAAAAAGTTCCTCACTTGCAGAAATACTGTAAGTCGCCAGGTGTCATGGCTCACCCCTATTATCCCAGCACTTTGGGGTGCTGAGGTGGGCAGAACACTTGAGTCCAGGAATTTGAGACCAGCCTGGCCAACATGGCAAAACCCCATCTCTACCAAAAAATACAAAATATTAGCCAGCTGTGGTGGCATGCACCTGTGGTCCCAGCTACTCAGGAGGCTGAGGTGGGAGGATTGCTTGAGCTGGGGAGGCGGAGGTTGCAGTGAGTTGGGACTGCACCATTGCACTCCAGCCTGGACAACAGAGTGAGACTCTGTCTCAAAAAATAAAAAATGAAAAAAAAAAAAAAAAAAAAAAGAAAGAAATACTATAAGTGAGGCATCCAACAAGGTAAAATCTCACCTGACAAGGTAAAATTCAAAATGTCTATTTTCTAATAAAAAGTTCCCAGGCATGCAAAGAAGCACAAAAATACTACTGATTATGAGGAGAAAAATCAATCAATCAAAACATATCAAGAATTAATACAAACGTTAGAAGTAGCAGACAAAAACATTAGAAGTGCTGTCATAACAATACTCTATATTTTCACAAAGATGGAGGACACAGATTGAATGTGTTAATTAGAGACATAATAGAAGATACAAAACAGGCCCAAAAGGACCCTCTAGAGATGAAAACTGCAGTTGTACAAAAACTAAAAAGCAAAAACCGCTAGATGAGATTAAAGGCAGATTTGACATGCAGAAGAAAAGATTGGTGAAAGTGAAGACACAGCTATAGAAACTAACCAAAATGAAACAGCAAAAACAAACAAACAAAACCTAAAAAATACAGCAACATCCTTGAGCTATAGCCTAAAATACTTGTAATTGGAGTCCCTGCAAAGGGAAGCATGAAGGGAAAAGAAAAAATATTTGGAGAAGTAATGGTCAAAATATTTCCAAATTGGTTGAAAACTATAAACTCCTAGCTCTAATAAACATGAAGAAAAGTACTTTAAGGCATATCACAAGCAAATTGTTCAAAATCAATAATAAAGACATCTTAAAAGCAGATAGAGAAAAAAGACACATTAAAAGATAAGTATGACAGATGACATCAGAAATAACATAAGTGAGAAGGTAATGGAGTAACATCTTTGAACATCAACCTTTGAAAAGTCATTTTGTATATACATAAAACAAAAAAGTCAGTAAATATAAACTTAGCCTCTCCCCAAACTAAAAGAGTCTTTATTAATGATTTCGGGCAGGTTGAAAGTTTTAACATAAAGATTTCATAAATTTTCTAATGTTTCTGACTACAGTAAAGTCTTTAATAAGAAACCAAGACCAATACATAAGTCAAGAAAAAAAAAGTACAATACCTAATTTTGTCTTAAGAGTCTTCACATTTTCAAGTTCTTGTTCCAACTCCATTATGTTGTATTCCACCGATGAAGATAGCCCTATTCAAAGCAAAAATATTTAGAAGTATAACAGAACCCCTAACACTATAGAACAGGTAGCCCCTTAATTAAAAGATAAAATAACACATGTCAAATCCTGCTAATTGAAAATAAAAACAAATGCTGCTGTGATTCAGAGGAAAGCACATCCATATATTTACCAGTTAAAACTTCCAAGTTCTTGCTGATTAAACAGTACATGTTTCCACAGAGTGATATAATGGACTGTGGAGACTCAGAAGGGAGAGGGTTGGGTGAGGGCAAGGGATAAAAAACTACATATTGGGTACAATGTGTGCTACTCCAGTGACGGGTGCATTGAAATCTCAGACAACACTATAAACCACTACATATCCATGTCACCCAAAACCACTGGCACCCCAAAAGCTATTGAAATAAAAATATTAAAAGTAAACACCATGTTTCCAAGAAAATTTCTTAACGTGATAAAGTTCTAATTTGATCTATTAATAATCTTTTCTTAATTACAAAAACATATTGGGCTTACTACAAAAAGTGAAAAAAATCAAGATCTCCTTTTCTCCATCTCATCTTCTTAAAATAACAATTATGAACAGCTTGGCTGATGCTCCCATATCTTCCTTCACATTCAGAAGCACATTCATACATACATACTTATCACATACATGGTTTTTATTACATATTTTGTATGAATGGGGTCAGACATATTACTTTTCCATTTGCTTTCCTAGTCAATTACATGTCCAAGTTGATAGCTGAATAGCATTCCATAGTACAGATGTTCTACAACTTTATGCAGAATGATTCCCTTTACAAATACTGAAGTTTTCAGCTTTGTTGCCACTATAAACAGTGTTGCAATAAACATTCTTATATGCATATCCAGTACATTTTGGTTATAATTATTTCTGTAAGACAGATTCCCAAAACTTAGATTGCTGAGTCAAAAGGCATGAACATTTACAGGTTACTTCCCCGAAACATTCTGTAGACTATTGTAATAATTTACATTTCTATCAATAGCTTTGAAAGTATCTATTTTCCAGTATCTTCTTGAGCACTGGATGATATAGCTCTTGAATGCTAGCAATGTAATGGGTGAAAAATGTTTTCTTATTGTTACTTTAATATGCATTTCCCTAAAAGTGGTTGAACATATTTCTGCATGTTTATCACCTAAATTTTCCCTATTCATATTTCCTGCTTGTTTCTCTAATGGCAGATCTTTGCATTCTTTCTATTTTACCTGTTAAATTCCAAAACAGAGAAATTAAAACCCCCACTACAACTGGACTTTAAGTTCTCTCAGTTTTTAAGAGTGTCTTTTTTTTTTTTCCATTTAGCGTTTGTATTTGACTGCTGAGACTGGGGGATTCTGTTTGCTAGGGGTTGTTTTCTTTTTTTTCCCATCCTAGCCTGTTACATCTTCCTTATGAATCATATATTTTATCATTTCATAATGACCCTGTTTGTTTTTAATGCTTTTCAACTAAAATTCTGTTTTGTGGACTTTAACTGCTACTTTCTTTTGTTTTTACCTATCTTGCTTGCTTACTTGCATACATTTATACACACACCTTTAATTTTAATCTTTCTTTTTCTCTTTTCCAGCTGAATCTTACTTGAGGTTTAACCTGTATCAGTTAGAGTTCATTGGCTATGGGCAACCGAAATAGACTCACTAGTTGAAACAGAAAAGGAATTCAGAAGATAGAACCAGCAGGAAAATTTTCCAGTAAAGAAAGTAGAGGAAGTGGGCAGCTGGGAGTTGAAGGTGGCAGAGCAGGTGGGTAGAGTCTCCTCATATTGTAACAGCTGGGATGACTCAGTCCGAGTACTCTCCGTCTGCATGTCACTGTGATTAAGAATAAAAGTCTAGGAAGCAGGAGTCCTAATGGCATAGCTTAGAGTCACATGCTGGTTTCTTGGAGAGCCAAGAACTTTGATGAGCAGTTCCACCAATCTCATCTGGCCAGGGAAATCCGCAAATCCAAATCAGGTTCCCTTTCTCTACTAAAAGAAAGGGCAATAGATGCTTGTAGCAAAAATAATAAATACAGGTTGAATAATCCAATATGATAACCTGTTCTTTCACAGTCAAATTCAGTCCATTTACACTTAGCAAAATATAGAGCTTGCATTCAGTACAATTTAGTTTAATAGCTGATAAACCTCATTTTATACTTCCTATATTTTAAGTGACTCTGTCTTTATAAAATAAAGCGTGCACATCAGTTCAAAGTGTCAAACACATGCACGGGTTCGCTGTCACGTCTTCTCCCTCCTGAATCCACTTTTCCAAAAGTCGCTGTCCAGCTGGCTCTTCTGGCATTTGTCTTCCTACTGCAACTTCTGAATGTCCTGCTCAGAGCATTCCCACTGTGGCAAGTGAGGAGGCCAGTGTCTGAGCCACACGCCTCTTCACTCCTCCGTTTCTCTCAGTTTCGCCATGATGATCATTTTAGCTAGACTGATATTCAATGTCTACATTATTATAACAACCAAAATGCTCATCCACAAAGTCAACTATGACCAGCTGTCCTTCCTTCCTTAACATTCTTCCCACCCCGAGAGTTAGCAATAATTTCTGTTTCTTTTACTTAGTTTTCTGTTTTGTACTTAACACAAATTCAAAGCCGAAACATCCTGCCAAACATCTTTATTTTCCCTTGGCTTTTACATTCCTCGGTTATACTATCAACTTCATTTTCTTGAAAAAATTTCTCCTGTTGTCTTTACACTTGCCCACCCTAGATGGACCGCCCTCTGTGCCTCCGGCCCCCTTTCACCTGGGACTGCCTGCCCATGCCTCCTGTGGGGCATCTCTTATTTCCTACACAGCCCACATCTTTTCGTATTTGCTCCCTTGTTTAGACGGTGCATATCCTTCACTGGTTTGCTAAGAAAAGCTGAATGTGAGGTAAATTTTTAAAGACTATACAAGTCTGAATACTTTACCTTTGCTCTTACATTATAGTTTCAGTATAAAAATCAAGGTCAAAACTAATTCTTCTTCAGAATTCTGGAGGCTTTGCCTGGCAGAACTCCCCATAGGCTGGTGGTGGTGGTAGCCCGTGGGAGACTCTCCTCAGCCTGTGGAAGGAGGAGGAAGGAGTAGAAAGTCTTGTGGTTTGAGGGCCAGTTTCGCTGCAGTAAAACAGAACACCAGCTGGATTTCTAAAGTTTTTGACTCCAAACTCTGCTTCCCAGACAGCATCTGTGGACCCGCCCTGGGTCTCAGGGAACTTTTCACACTGAAGGGAAGGATACAACCTGGCTGGTTTCCCTCCTACTGATGATAGAGCCCTAGGGCCTTGAGAGAACACAGGCAGTAGCCAAGCAGTGTTTACAGTGGGCTTTGAGCAGAACCGAGTGCTGTGCTGGCTTCAGGACTCACCCAGCACAGTCCCAGTGGTGGTGGCCACTGGGGTGCTTGCATCACCCGAACCTCAGCTCTAGGAAGCTCAGCACAGAGAGATGCCATTTATTTGGGAGAAAGTAACAAGAAAAACAGCAACAAGTAACAAAGAACAAGAGTCTCTTCTTGGTAATCCAGAGAATTCTTCCGGATCTTATCTAAACCCACTGAGGCATTACCACTATGAGTCTGCAAGAACCACAGCATTATTGGGCTACGGGCCCAAGTTCCTTTGAATATCCGGAAAGCCTTCCCAAGAAAGGCAGGCACATACAAGCCCAGACTGTGAAGACTACAACAGATACATAACTCTTCAATGCCCAGACACTGATGAACATCCACAAGTGTCAAGACTATCCAGGAAAACAAGAACTCACCAAACAAACTAAATGAGGCACCAGCGACCAATCCTGGAGAAAGAGATATATAACCTTTCAGACACAATTCAAAATGGTTGTTTTGAGGAAACTCAAAGAAATTCAAGATAATACAGAGAAGGAATTCAGAATTTTATCAGATAAATTTAACAAAGAGATTGATATAATTAAAAAGAATCAAGCAGAAATTCTAGAGTTGAAAAATGCAGATAACAAACAGAAGAATGTATCAGAGTCTCTTAATAGCAGAACTGGTCAAGCAGAAGAAAGAATTGGTGAGCTTGAAGGCAAATTTGAAAATACATAGTAGAGAAAAAAGAATAAAAAAGAACGAAGCATGCCTACAATATCTAGAAAATAGCCTAAAAGGGGCAAATCTGAAAGTTATTGGTGGCAAAAAGGAGTTAAAGAGAGAAAGGTTAAAAAGTTTATTCAAGGGGAGAATATCAGAGAACTTCCCAAACCTAAAGAAAGAAAGAATTTCAGTATCTTTATATTGAAATTTAAGAACAAGAAAGTTATAGAACACCAAGTAGATTTAACTCAAAGAAGACTACCTCAAACAATCAAACTCCCAAAGGTCAAGTATAAACAAAGGATCCCAAAAGCCGTAAGAGAAAAGAAACAACATACAATGGAGCTCCAGTATACCTGGTAGCAGATTTTTTAGTAGAAACCTTGCAGGCCAGGAGAGAGTGGCATGACATGTATAAAGTGCTAAAGGAAAAAAACTTACACCCTAGAATAGTATATCTGGTGAAAATATCCTTCAGATACGAAACAGAAAGACTCCCAGACAAACAAAAGTTGAGGCATTTCATCAACATCAGACCTGTCCTACAAGAAATGCTAAAGGGAGTTCTTCAATCTGAAAGAAAAGAATGTTAATGAGCCATAAGAAATCACCTGAAGATACAAAACTCACTGATAATAGTAAGGAAACACAGAATATTTTAACACTGTAATTATGGTGTGTAAACTCCTCTTATAATAAGTAGAAATACTAAGTGATGAACCAATCAAAAATAATAACTACAACAACTTTTCAAGACAGAGACAGTAGAGTAAGAAAGAAAGAGAAACAACAGAAAGTTTCTACGGTACAGATTAAAAGTGTGAGGATGAAATTAAAGTGTAGAGTTTGTATTAGTTTTCTTTTTGCTTGTTTGTTTACACAATGTGTTAAATTGTCCTCAGTTTAAAATATGGGTTATAGGATATTA